ACACGTGTGTTCGTGTGTGCTCTTGTGTGTGTGTGTGTGTGTGTGCGTGTGTGTGTGTGTGTGTGTGTGAGTGTGTGTGTTTGGTTCAGTGGAAGAAACCTTGAAGCAGCAAAACAGAAAACTCTTGCAAAGTTGCTCAAATTAGAATGATATTTGGTTCCCAGTGATTTAGTTTTACTAACTAGTGATCACTGTTGATTGCTGTTGCTCACCCTCAGGCCATCAGGATCAGGATGAGTTTGTTTCTTCATCAGGTTTGTAGAAATGTAGCATTGCATCAGTGTCTCAGCAATGGATGCTCTGCAGTGAATGGATGCCGTCAGAATGAGAGTCCAAACAGCTGATAAAAACATCACAATAATCCACAAGTAATCCACGGCACTCCGGACCATCAGTTAACGTCTTGTGAAGCTAAACGGTGCGTGTTTGTAAGAAACAAATCCATCAATACAGCATTGTAACTTTAAACTTCTTGCTTCCGGCCAAAATACAAAATAATCCATAATAACCATTGCTTTAAAAGCTTAATTCGCCAATCTTATTTATGTTTCAGTTGTACCTCAAATGATTTCTTCTTATGGCTTGTGGAGATGCATGTTCATAGTCTGTTTTGTAGGGAAACAGCAAACAACAAACAATCATTTCTGGGACTCACTGAATGAAAAACAAACACACACACACACACACACACACACACACACAATGCACATTCTTTCATAATTCCAAGATTCAGTCCACATGGTTCATACCCTCAAAATATTTCTTAACTTGATTTTTTTTCCATGGCAAACTAAAATTATATTCATCATAAAATAACATTGACGTCCGCCTTCTGCCTATATACAGTACAGTAAGTAACCGTAACACAATCACCCATCTGAGACATGTCACCTCACTTCTAGTGTGATCAGTGCTCCATATGTATTTAATAGGCTTTTTTATTATTACATTGTGTTTATGACAACTCAGGCATTTTTCTTTATGTCGTAAAAGGCATGCAGCGTAATATATAGCATACACACACAGTATATGGCCATTGATTGTATATGCATGTATCCAGCCTGTATTTCACAGCAAGCTACAGATTGTTTACTGCCTGCAGTGGCCATTATTCTACAGGACACGAACCGCATCGAGAAATCACAGTTTGTTGAGGAAACACTTTTGAAATGTGAGGAGCAGTTTCAGAAACAAATGTATTTTTCTCTTTATTATGTGAGACAGTAAGATAAGACAGCAATAAAATGGCTGTAAAGTGTGCTGTCTGCATCTGGGAGCTCATACTGTATGCCAGCAGAAAATATATTCTGTTTCTGAGAGTGTTATATTGCAAGCAGCACCCTTGCTTCATAGGAATATAATGATTGTCATCCACATACTGTAGTAGATAAGAAAATGTAAAATCCCTTAAAATAGTGTCTGCAACTGGTCTGCACTCTAGCATGTTTAAACAGAAACTCTATAAGTGCACAAATGATGCATTCAGCTGGTTGTCAATCACAGATATATACACAAAAAACAATCAGGTTATTTTCAATAAAACTTTACAGTGACATGTTTTGATTTGAAAGAGATTGTATCATAAGAAATCAAAATCTCCCTGAGCTCTTGAGATATGAGCTTGATTTATTATACAACAGAGACTGAGCTGCTCCATTATCTGTCTGCTACTCATGCTGCAGTAAATACAGCTCATAAATAGGAATGAGGTGAATTACATCGCTAACTAAAGCATAGACACAGAGTTTGCTCTGTTAATCCCAGACAGAAAAAGCCACGTTTCACGTGTGTTTCATCTATTTCACATGTGAAGGGAAAACACATGCCTCACCCGTAGATCTGTTTTAAATAAAGGATGAAAATTAATTTAAGTGTACTTACATTCTGATTAAAAGAAGTCTCTAAAACACGCGCCTGTTTCGTCAATATTGCTTTGCATTGCAATGCAAATGATGCATGTTCACTGTCTGTCCACGTAGAGATCTCACTGTGCATCTGCAACCCTTCACGCTGGTCCTCATGTAAAGCGTAAAGCTCTGCTGGAAACTCTGCGGTTACCTCACAACACAGGTGAGAGTGTTACAGTTACCTGCCAGACGTGATTGACAGCTGTCAGTCGCAGTCGCATTATATGAGCAGTTTATTAATATTGCATCATGCATTTAGATTTTCCTCCCAAAAATTAAAAGAAAGCAACTCAAAAATATCTGTGTAAGAGAATATTGCCGTTGCACAGTCTATACGGGATTTGGTCGGCAGGGAGCGATAGATATCCTAATCAATCGGAGCCCTATGACAAATGCACCTTAAAATACAAGCTCAAAACTGTTGTGTTGAGGTGATTAGGCTATTTAATAATAATAATAATAATAAATGCATTAATAATAACAATGCACTTTATTGTTTCTTGTGCTGACATTTAATACCTACAGTGTTAGCAAAACCTGCATGCAAGCTTTGTAAATGAGGATATAAAAATCTAAATAGCCATGAAAAGAGCACCACAAATTTGTTTTTTTTTATATATAAAGCTAATTATAATAATCCAATGGTTTGGTTACAGACTAATCCAAAACCTTCTCCTAAAAGAAGACTAAACGAAAGAAAGAAAAAAAAAAGTGCATGTGTATTTCATATGAATCAGTTGTTCCAACCGAGGGTGTCCCCAGATGTCCCCAAAAGGAGGTTTCGTTTTTTCGCTTCTGCAAATGTTTTTGAACCAAATCAACCTACCCTGCCTTTAAGGTAGGTTATATTTTATATTATATTATTTTATTCTATTCCATTATCTATTCTATTATCAATGCTATTATATTATATTCGTTTTGTTCTAATTTATTTAAAAAATAAAATGGTCTGTGCTAGACCAACTGAGACGTGTATACTGCTGCTCTCTCGTTGGTCAGATTGCTTCCATTGTCCTCATTTGTAAGTCTCTTTGGATAAAAGCATCTGCTAAATGATTAACTATAAATGTATATTTCCTGAGCATACAGATATATACATATTTGACACTTCCAATAATCATCAAATAACATGTATAAAGATAATGAATATTCCATGTATGCATTAATTAGCTACTTTTCGTCGGAAGTTTAATCTGATTTAATGGTTGGTGGGAAAAATAGCATTTTTGCCATTTTTTATTAATGTCAATTAAATTCAAATTCTATTCAATTAAAGTCATTGTGCTGGTCATTTTTTAATGGCTAGGATTTACAGACCTGCAGGATTAGCGGTGCACTGTAAAATGTTTTCATCATTATGTTTTAACAAGTTTTTCTTTTGGGTTTTATGAGTTTTCATCTACTGAAGTGGTTTCAAAGTGTAATCAGCTGATCACTGCGGGCTTTACACCACCTTAACTTGAATTTAAGGCAGTAGTTACTGTCAGTTGGTTAACTCTTTACAGGGTAGATGTTTGGCCCCTCCTCTCGCCAGGGGCCCGGGGCTCTTACGCACAGGACATCGAAAAATCTTTTTAAGAGCATACTAGTTTTAAAAAGACTCTTTAAAGGTGACATGCATTTATTCATTATTAAACACTTTCTTCCCAGCTTATACTTTTACCCCTTTTCTAAGCTGATCTCCATAAAAAAAAGTGTAACATCATGACTCTGTTTGTTTGAGCATGTCGACTAACATTGACTCAACTAATGGAGTGAGTTTTGAGCATGTTAGTGAAAGTAAAAAAAAAAAAAAGATGAGACTCTTCACAAATGTCATTCTTCTAGTTTGTTTACTTAAGAAAGGAGAAACGACCGGTGTACCTGACAAGGCTTAACCATGTCAACATCACCCGCTTAGTATGAGCTTGACGTATTCCATTATGGGATTTACATCATTGTAATCTTTCAAAATGAATGCAACACATAATGAAAGTAGAGATGTGTTATTCTTACTATTTGCATTTAACATCACATATGCATATCTGTCGTTCAGCAAAACAAAATCAAAAAATACACGAGAGTGGTACTGCCTGTTTGTTGATAAATTGGTAGACAGGGTGTTCAGAAAACTAAGCTTTATAGTTGTCTGGGAAAAAAATACTTTGGTCACATTTTATATTAGGTAGCCTTAACCATTTGATACAATATACTTATGCACATACATGTTGGCTCGTTGTGCATTTAAAGTACCTGCGTTTAATTAACATGTGTTGTTAGACTGTTAACTTTACCTCTAACCTTACCTCAAAAACTAACACTATAACCCTCATAAACCTAACCTTACCTTTTGTCCAATATATAACCATACCTCAAACTCATTAGCAGTAAATCTGGGAATTTTTCAAAATAACATGAAGTGGCACTGTAAATCTATAGTCTATTAATGCATTAATGTTAGTATAGTCAAGGCCACCTAATATAAAGTGTGATGGCGTAAAGATTTTTATGCAGGTTAGATTTGATTAATTAGTTGCACACATGGGGTCCGTTCTTTGTACGTCGATAACTCCGTTAGCTGGATTTGATTGTTGATGATTTCGCTTGATCTTGGATTGTTTGGTTCTTCAAAGCTCATCCCAGAGTTGCGGTCATAGCAACAGGTCCTTAAGCTTAAGCCTGCTCGGGAGCAGGCTTATTTCATGTAAACAGTATTAGATCGCATCTTTTTAAGTGGAAATCTGTCCCAGCCACTGGGACACAGATGCAACATCTCATTTACATATCGACCAACGCAATATACCAAGTGCAGCGCAAATTAGCGTAGTCGCAAATAAAGAATAAAGAAATAAAGAAGCCGCAGTACGTTGAAAAGAACCAAAGTTTTGATACTTGGTATTGCGTGACTCCTAGGTTCCAAGTCGTCTTTTATTTCCTGAAGCAAATTAAAAATAACATGGCTTGGCAAACGATATGTTTGGACAATGTGTTCTTCTTGCCTTCTAAATAAATTAATATATGTGGAAAAAATCCTCTCCCTTCTACCACGCGCTCTCTGTTCTCTGCAACAATAACTGCAGCAACTTCAAGTGCAAAATAGTTTAAGACTTGTTTTTTGGTGCGTTAAATAATGGCGCAAATGCCAGTAATTTGACGAGCGTAAACGTTAGTAAAACGCATTGCACGATTAATTTGAATACGCTGCCCCCATAACTTTTGCGTCTGAAAGGGAAACTCCTACAAATGCATATTCAATAAGATCAGGCGCAAAAATAACTGTCCACGCCTTTTCAGCGTTAATTCGTCACTGCGTGTCTTTTAGTAAAACCTGACAGTGCTATTTTAATGCCAAAAGATGGTTTGCGCTGGCGCAAGCTGTTAGTAAAACTGGCCCCTGGAATCTTTCAAATCATCTCGAAGTACGAAGAACGGACCCCTGAACAGAAATAATGCATTCAACTCCAGCTTTTAATGACCTCACTTCCTCCTCTATGTAGAATATGAAATCGTGGCCCCATACGAGGAGGACCATCAAGGGCGTTACGTTTCCCATGCCGTGGCCCACCATCACCGCAGGAAACGCTCCATGGAGGGTCAAGATCACGACCTCGCTGTGCACTTCAGGCTGCGTGGATTAGGACAGGACTTCCACCTGGACCTGCAGCCGTCACGTGGCCTGATCGCCCCCAGCTTCACCGTACAAACCCTGGGCAGGAGCGGCACAAAGAGCCTGAAGCCTATTCCTCAAGACCACCTCTGCTTCTACCATGGGGTGCTGAGGTCAGAGGTCAACTCATCCGTGGCCCTGTCGACATGTGCAGGGATGGTGAGTGGATTGATGGGTTATCCTGTTTCACAGCTGATTGTGGTCAATTGGGGAAGGAGTCATTGTCAGATAGTCTTAATAACAAAACAAGTCTTAAGAATTTATCATTGCATTAAAAACTATATCAGGGTTTCTCTATAGAGACACTACTGGGGGGGAAACAATCCAACGCTCTCCATTGACTTTGTATTGAGGGAAGCTGCCTTCTTGTCATTTCTGACTTATAACAAAAAACAGAACATTGCCAAAAAGCTGCTGTGTGACAAGGTGTACAGTAAATAAGCTACAAAACCCAGAACTACGTGTTTAAGCTGTCGACCCCCCAAAAACGAGCATTTAAGGACACAAAAATAGAGTGCAACATGTTATATTACTCTGAGAACTGCACCCACTGGAGGGAAACGTAATCGGCGACAGGAAACATTAATTATTATTATTAACCATGTCAAAGGATTATTTCACCACCCTTGTGAACCTGAGAGGAGGAGATATATTGATAAACTAAATTGTATTGGTCTATGTCAGTGCCTCTGTAACGTAGGAGGCGTGACAGCAGAGTTGAGGATCCATCTGCAGCCTTTTTATTTAGAGCGTAGTCGAACAGGCAGGGTCAAAACACCAGCAAAAACAGGAGTAATCCAGAACAGACAAAAGAGTAATCCAATAATCAGGCTAAGGTCAGGGCAGGCAGCAAACGATCAAAAACAATGTAAACAGTCCAAGATCAAAAACAGGCAAGGCAAGGAACACGGAGAACACCATGACAATACAGGTGATACAATGTGCAATGTGTGTGTGGATGAGTGCAACCTTTATAGTGTCACTGATGGGAAACAGGTGTGGTGTGATAATGAGTTCCTAGGCAGGGGTTATGGGAAATGGAGTCCTCAGAAAACAAAGATGAGACCCACTATCGTGACAGCCCCTTTTCCTAACCTTCCTTTTGTTTGAGAAATGATCCAACTGAATGGCCCAACGTGAACTACCCTGACATCTACAACAATTTGTGTCCTTAAATGCTCATTTTTTGAACCTTTATAGTGTCACTGATGGGAAACAGGTGTGGTGTGATAATGAGTTCCTAGGCAGGGGTTATGGGAAATGGAGTCCTCAGAAAACAAAGATGAGACCCACTATCGTGACAGCCCCTTTTCCTAACCTTCCTTTTGTTTGAGAAATGATCCAACTGAATGGCCCAACGTGAACTACCCTGACATCTACAATTTGTGTCCTTAAATGCTCATTTTTTTGGGGGTCGACAACTTACAAAAACGTAATCTGGGTTTTGGTAGCTTGTTTGCTGTACACCTTGTCACACAGCAGCTTTTAGGCATTGTTCTGTTTTTTGTTATAAGTCAGAAATGAGAAGGAGGCAGCTTCCCACAATACAAAGTCAATGGAGAGCGTTGGATTCCCCAGTGTGGGCGTGGCCTACATGCGCTCTGTCTCTATTGTACTCCCTCTGAAATGTGGAAAATGTATGCAGCACTAACCCAACTGATTTATGCTATGCCATTCAGATAGTTGATAATGATGGTGATAAAAATAGACCAGAAAGAATTTATCTTCTCATTAGAGAGAAAAAGACCCACAACCTCAAGCAATTTTGGCAGGAACTGTAGAGCGATCACTGTGCCATCATCAATGCACTGAATCACTTGTGTAGGCCTTCAAACCGCTGTATTCATCCGTCTAGTGTACTCATCATCCCATCTGTTTGTTTTCTCCATGGATTAATGTTCAGTGTGCAGAGAAACCTCAACCCTCCAGAGTGCTTTTGTTGTTTTGGCTCCCAGCAGGCGCTGCAGGAGCAAAGTGACTCTGCCGCAATTCTCATGACTTTACCCTGACTGGACTAACATAAAGTGCCCGTACCATCAATAGAGCCCAGCATTCAAATCCCCTTAAACCAGTGACTCAATAACCCACATAAATTTAGGTCAGGCGAGGTTTTACTTGAGAACAGAGCCCTCTTTTATTAGTCAAATCGACATTTGGAGGATCTGTACTCGTCCTCAGTGGAAACAAACACATATTGTACTCACATAAGCTTTAATACATGATGTTTTATTTGTAAACAGTTTGTTTTGAAAAGGAGTTCCAGAGCAACACTGAAAGATTACAATGAGCTCTTCAAGAATCTATGTATAAATACTCTATTGCTGCATCCCAAATCACATACTATCCATCTTAAATAGTTTTTGAAGTTAGAATTAGCGTGTCACAAATCATAGGTACCTGGATGATTTACTATTTCCTGTGGGAATTCGAAATACAGATCTGTGCAAACTCTAATGGCTAATGTTGCCCACAACCTATTGCACATTGAACAAGGATTCGATTAAGAACTACAAACGTGAATAAAAAGTGTTAAAAACTACAAACATAGCAGACATGTGAGGCCGACGGACATGTAGAGAAAGGGGTTTGAGTGATTAATAATCAATATCGAACATGATGAAAAATATTTATTTAATCATTTTAATTTCCCAATGGCTTTTAACCTTTATGTGATTGTCAGCTTTTAAATGGAGGCAACTCAAATCTTACTGTCATTGCAAATGTACTGGGTCTATAACTAGCTGAAATATGTGCTGGAAGTGTAATGTTGTAGACTATCACACTGTCCCCAGCTGGATGTGATTAGCAGCGGTGCAGAGTCATTAGTTAACTCCGTCTCTCCTTATGTGTCCAGTAAAGTCTGTGTATAAATTCACTTTGAATGGCGGAGCCTGGCTTGGCAGATCACCACTGGAGGTTGGCAGGGCTTTGATGACAGTCAGAGTTTGTCATAAAAGGTCCTAAATGTGAGTTTAAAGGCGTGAGGACTGGACTATTGAGGCCCCAGTGATTTAAAGCTGACGGCTTTATACAAAACGGTACAATAGCTGTCTTTAGTGGTGGCACATGGGATGCCAATTAGGAGGGTCATTAGAAATGGCAGTCTGGGTTGAGACTCTGTGCTGAAAGTTTTTCTGAAGTGACGCCAGTCTGCAATAACAGGCTAATTGTGAGTGATGTCAGCCATAAGCTGAAGCCATAAGTCTACATTTGGACATCCAACCTTCGACACGTCTGACACAACACTGTGGATAACACAGCTTAAATAAGCAAAACATTCATACTTACTTAGGGGAAGGTTTTAAAAGCAGCATATAATCAAAATTGACTTTTGTAGTACATGTTCCTGGTCTTATTGTTAAAGGAACCCACAAATCCTGTCATCATTTACTCACTAAACTATTCTGCAGAACACGAAATAAGATATTTAACGTTTCAGCTGTCGAGAGAATGAAAGTCAATGGGGTCCAAATCTTTCAAGCACTAAAAAACAAATAAAAGTAGAGTAAACGTAGCCTATACAGCTCCATTCAGGTATGGAATGGCCACTTTTCATAATCCAGTCAGTTTCTGATGAGAAAAATCCTTCCCTACATTCATGTTATGTTACATTATGGTGTTTAAATGGGTTGATAATGCTGTTTCAAGTTGACTTTAAGGATTTAGAAAGGAAATCTGAGAGTTGTTCACTGGGACATTAAGACAGGGCAGTCCAAAACTGGTCTAAACAGAGTTTGTAGTATCTATTTTTGGTACAGGTCCTGTTATATTGGACTGGTTTTGTTCACTCTTAATTAAAACCAAGGACAAACTCCCCAAGAAATCGTGTTTGATTTCTGATCCCAACCTGCTCCGTAGCAGAACCTGGTGCGTTGGTTCATCGTCTTTCACCAAATTTCCAATATAATTATGATTTAGCGTTCATCATTAGGCTTTGAAAACCAAGCCATGCAACCCGCAGCAACTCTTCAGATCTCTTGTCCAAGATATATGCATTATTATCCCTCATAAAACAACTCCATGTTTCACTCTCCAGGCTTTAAATGTGGCTTTGATGGACTGACATTGGTGCCAACATAATGGTGTAGTTACAAAATCTACCAGCAGGGACTAGTAAAACATCCAAAGCTTGATCCCATGGTTAACATTAACCACAATGTCACAACAGTATGTCAAATGGAGATTTATAGTATTAACTGTACTACATCACGGCTGGTGTGAATGACTTAAATCTAAGTTCTAACAGTCATTGTGAAAGAAGTCTTAACAAGAAGTGTTAAGATGAAAGATGAAACTAGTAACTCTGAACAGGATCCATTTCAGATTTTTTACTCTGAGTTAATCTTGTGGCAGTTCATTTCCCAGTGACTTTTAACCTCTATGTGATCGTCAGCCTTTAAACAGTGGCAGCACAATTCTTACTGTCACTGTAAATGTACTAGGCCTATAACCACCTGAAATATGTGCTGGAAGTGTAATGTTGTAGACTATCACACTGTCCCCAGCTGGATGTGATTAGCAGCGGTGCAGAGTCATTAGTTAACTCCGTCTCTCCTTATGTGTCCAGTAAAGTCTGTGTATAAATTCACTTTGAATGGCGGAGCCTGGCTTGGCAGATCACCACTGGAGGTTGGCAGGGCTTTGATGACAGTCAGAGTTTGTCATAAAAGGTCCTAAATGTGAGTTTAAAGGCGTGAGGACTGGACTATTGAGGCCCCAGTGATTTAAAGCTGACGGCTTTATACAAAACGGTACAATAGCTGTCTTTAGTGGTGGCACATGGGATGCCAATTAGGAGGGTCATTAGAAATGGCAGTCTGGGTTGAGACTCTGTGCTGAAAGTTTTTCTGAAGTGACGCCAGTCTGCAATAACAGGCTAATTGTGAGTGATGTCAGCCATAAGCTGAAGCCATAAGTCTACATTTGGACATCCAACCTTCGACACGTCTGACACAACACTGTGGATAACACAGCTTAAATAAGCAAAACATTCATACTTACTTAGGGGAAGGTTTTAAAAGCAGCATATAATCAAAATTGACTTTTGTAGTACATGTTCCTGGTCTTATTGTTAAAGGAACCCACAAATCCTGTCATCATTTACTCACTAAACTATTCTGCAGAACACGAAATAAGATATTTAACGTTTCAGCTGTCGA